GAAATGGAGGTTAGGGTTTTGAGGGGAGGCTGGGAAATATCGCGGCATGACCGCTTATATATAAGACAGGGAGTTAGGGTTTTGATCTGGGTCGTAGATTGGGGAATATCGACGGCTGGATTTAGTTTAAGATGGACGGTTTGATCTTGGTCTGTTAATCTATGTGATTTTTTATCATATTAGGCCCTAAACTCTGAAATGGAGGTTAGGGTTTTGAGGGGAGGCTGGGAAATATCGCGGCATGACCGCTTATATATAAGACAGGGAGTTAGGGTTTTGATCTGGGTCGTAGATTGGGGAATATCGACGGCTGGATTTAGTTTAAGATGGACGGTTTGATCTTGGTCTGTTAATCTATGTGATTTTTTATCATATTAGGCCCTAAACTCTTTCTTAATTATATATTAGATACTTTAATCTTCAAATTTCTAATGTACAAAACAAAAGCGAAACGGGCATGGTTTTTAGTAAATTGGATTGTAGCTAAGTTGACTTTTATAAGAAAAACAAATTCTTACATCCATTTTAAATCAGCTTTATAAGAACATCATTCTATACGTAACATGAGTACTATGTTAATGATGTAATCTGATAAGTGCATCATCTGTAAATATTCGAGGTTATCTCTTAATCAGGAGGGCTTTATTTATTTGTTTTATATTATTATTATTTTGGCCCTTGCATTTGGAGCTCCGAAAGAGCGAATTAGGCTCACACGTTGTTCTTGCGTTTAGCATTTTGACATCCTCTTTCTTTTCGGTGCTTCAGACGTTTTGGATGTAAGAGAAGGTAGCAATAGCAAATGATAGCAAATGAATGAATATATGGGCATGTTTTTCATTTCTTGACACTGGAAGTCTTCAAGCTTGTTTTCATGCAAAGGAAATACAAATAAGATGATGACTGACATCATTCGATTTTACCACTCAAAAGTGTGAGCAACTCCAAACCGAATATAATGTAAGAAGTGAAATAATTAAAAAAAAATCCTAAATGAGGGAGAAAACCGAAAGAGTGGTAGCTAAGAGCTAAATGTTGAGGAAAACGAAAAAAGAACACTGTTCTTAATCATATATATGAGGTGAATTTAGAAAATTTATTTGAAGGTTTATGCAAGTTAAATGACTTCTTATTTTTATTTTATGATTGATGGTCAGGGCGAAAATAACAATGGTCTCATGGTTTGAAGTTATAATGGCAGAAACTATATACTAGATGATTAAAACAAGTAAAATGATTCCTAAACAAAAACAGATCAGACAATGTTTATTGTTCTCTAATGGATATCAGAGTTCATACTACTTCCACTGCGAAAAGTGCTTCAACTGCTGCAGGCTGCGGACTCGGTTTTATCAGACGGAGATCTCCCTACTTCCACAATGGAAAGTGTTTGAGTTGCTCAGTGTTCAAGGTGATGTTATCGATTATCATTGGCGGCAAGAATTCACCAGGTACAGTTGTAGTGAGATTGTTCGTGACATGTTGTTTAGGCATCTGTATTTGTATGTTCGACATAACGTGAGCTATTTGACATAGCATGATGAAATCAAAACAATAAATAATTTTTGATCGGATATCATTAATTTGACTAAACAAAAGCAATTAACAACATAAGGGATCAACTTCCTCTCAAAAAGTGATTAGAAGAGGAGGAGAGTAAAAGTTAATGCTATGTCGTCCTCTACATAGTCGTCCTCCATAGTCGTCCTCTACAGACACTAGAGATGGAGCACGGTTTCTCCATAGTCGTCCTCTACAGACACTAGAGATTTTTGCATAAGGGGTTGTTTGGTTGGCTGAGAAACTAAGAAAAGAAAATCAAAACACCAAACACACCCATATGAAGGTGTTTGATTTCTTTTTCTTGTGTTGAGAGAAAGAAAAAAAGAGATGTTGTGCATGTAAGACCCGCCCACTAGTAAGATAATAGTGTCATGAGTCATAAATTTAAGGAAACTCATTTCCTCCTAAAAAATCATGAAATGGGTTTGAAAACATGAAAATGAATCTCACAACCTATTTCCCATAAGTAATCTCCCAAACTTGTGTTTCTAGGAAATGAACCAAACAGCCCCTAAACTGAATCAATTCTGGACCTACGTCGGGTAGTCTATATCTAACCGAAGAACTTAAAACTAGACTAGCTCTACCTGAGATCTTCAATTGACATCAAGACAATCTTCATGAGATGAACAATTATTGGCCTCCAGCAAAAATTTAGGATAAATAGAGACTCATATGCTATCATACAACATAACCTATACTGAGAGAAAAGTGCACCAGCTAAATCAATTTCCTTTGTTCAAGAAAACCAGCATCAAGGAGAAAAGTTGAAAAGACTGAAACGAAGACTCTACTCCAGCTAAATCACTTTCCTTTGTTGAAGAAAACTAGCATCAAGGAGATAAAGTCGAAAAGAGAGGTCAAGAAAACTAGCATCAGGGAGATCATTTTGCCCGATATAGTCATCATCACGACCGGTGAGCATCAAATTTCACATTTTGCTCGGCTGTTCTTTCAGGAGTACGTAGTTTTCCATTCAAAATTAGCTATAACATCCCTTGATCATTGAGAAAGATTGGGATTCGGTGCAGCTCATGGACCATAAGGAATCAATACGATACAAGAAAATGTAACTCAATTCTTGAATCGTCCACACAACTATAGCCTCCATTCAACAGGAAAATAGCTCACCATTTCTCCATCGAAAAAGGCATGTGATATCATTCAAAAATATATCAACATCAAGTAGCTTAAATACCTCCCTCATTCCAATAAAACCCAAAGCAATCATAATTACTAACCAGGTGCTACTTGTTGACTTGTCAACTAAACTAGCAGCTTTGTAATCCTTGAGTACAAACAGTGAATCTATATAAGACGTATATCAAAACATAATGATACAACAACTATATTTGGGTAGAAGTTGAAAAGAAAGAAGATTAAAATATTTCTCAGTGCCTACAGCATAATCGAGCTTGATGGGCAACTTCTATCATCTATGTAAGTCTCTTATTAGTTTTTCATAGTTATCTGGCAGGTCAACAGAGAAACATTTATAGGCTATTTGATTCCGCAATGACTAAAGAACTTCTGTCAACAAAATCAGAATTGTTTTTGAACCGAAAGCCTCTGCTATCACTCTTCTTTCTTTTCAAGCTTAGCATCTCCCTCTTGAGCTGCGGAAGCGCTATTTGAATCAGTTGCTGGTGTAGATTCACTGTAGTCCAGTAGCTGACGAAAGAGGAATAAGTAGCTAGATGTTAGATGTAATTGGTATAACACAATGTATCAATGTTCCATGATAATGGAGTTTATGCCTATAGTCGAAGTAAAAGAAAAGCAGGTTCGCCCTCAGTAATAAAAACAAGAAGCAAGAACGTTGGAGGCAATTTTAGTTTTTCTCTAGGAAACCTCCTTTTTTATTAGACTCTTTTCTGGTTTCATGCAACTATCAGAGTTGCAGCCTGATTACATAAGCTTCGAACTGAACTGCTGATACATTGGTGTTTCAGCTAATTTTGATTGTCAAGGTTCAATTGCAAGACCTGCTCGTGCTCTAAATTTTCCTGGTTATGATTTCGGTATCAACTTGTGGAAAGTTCTTTAGGGTCAACAACCGGTCAGAAAACTTGGTAAATTCTTTGGTAAAATAATATGTTCATGTTTGTTCAGTTTTGTTAGTCTTCTTGTAATTGACGGTTCTAATTGGTGAATAATGAAATGCTATTGTTCCAAGAATCAATCAGTTCCTAGTTCAATTAATGTACTGCATGTTTTACCAAAGGGATTGTCTAAATAATTGATTATATTTCAGGAAGTTGATTGTGCTTCAGAGGATGCCACATTCATATCGGTGCATATAACTAGTAACCTCTGTTAATGAAGAAAGAGATGGTAAGGGGAAACATACTTACAGGGGACTAACGAAGTGAGAATAAAAATCTTTTCATTTTTTGGTATGGTAATTAATAAGCAATCGTGACATATTTAATATTTAATTTAATTTTTTTCCATTCTCACTTAAGTGGAACGCCCATTCCCTACCAACCCATTGAGAATGCTCAATGAAGGAGAAGTGAGAATGAGCATTCTAACTTCGAAAAAGATGTCATGTATGGTATGCATGAAGGAGAAGTGGGAATGGGCATTTCATTCCCACTCAATCCCCCATTCCAAACGAGGCCTGAAGGCAATCAACAACTAACGAAGTATCTTGACTTCCATTTAAAGAATTATAAACAGGGAAAAAAGCATGATAATGAGTAATCCTATAAGAAATAAGACACAGAATATACCGGCTTTACTTCCCCATTCCATAAGCAGTGAATACCCACAGACCCAATAACACCAGGTACTATATATAGGAGTGCAGGCTGGAAGAAACACTGAATAAGTTAATAATATGGTAATCATAGAGAATGAAACATCGTTTGAGTTTGATTAATTCACCTGTGCAGCCTGAAACCAATTCATCACAACTATAGTAAGAACCAAACCAAGTGTATACCCAAAGAACGCGCTGTTGAAATAACGATTTTGTTTCCCTCTGGACACATCAAAACGCAACGCCAAAGCAACAAATATGCCTAAAGGGAGAAATAAGCATTTAATTATAGTACCGAAAGAAAACTTTAACTACTGAAATGCGGCTACCAGAAGGGGAGGAACCTAACGTCATGAATAACCCCCAAAAGAAACACAGATCACTACCTCTGTATAACAGTAACAGCATAATAATAACCGAAAAGGCAACATAACTTCATTCTCATATAACAAGAAATTTAAGTTGATGGATACATAGCTTGCAGCTCAAGAGGGCTTTTCAGCTATAATGGAAAAGCCTCGAGGAAAACACAATCAGGAAAGACAAGATAATAGGGGTAAATTAACATATTTTGGTCTTGCAACATGTCAAATATACTTTCTGATACCATGAAACCAACTGCTCTCATGCCATATCAAAGACCGCTTTACTCCAAAGCTTAGAGCAGATGGGTTGTATATTCGTACTGTTATACAACAAATATATACATATTAGAGAAGCAGTTGGGATATAATTTATAATCCATAATATCTTTATTTGGATTCCAAGTCATTTTTTAGGGCTTTATATTTACAACAAATGCCTCCATTAATGACATGAAAAAAGCTTATACATTGTCCCTATATTCACTGAAATTAGCACCATATATGATTCCTCTTCCCTATCTCCTTCGATAAAATCATAAAATATTCTTAATCACCTAGAAACTATGGTCGTACAATAGAAGGAATGCATTGGAAATAAAAGGCCAGCAAGACTAAAATTGAGCATAAATAAGAACAAACAAATTGGCCAAAAAAGTTCAAATATCATTGCATGCATAGAAGAAATTTGTACCAGGTATCACAATATCGCCAAGACCAAGCATGGAAAATGGACGGGCAGAATTTGAAGTTGGGAATAGAAGCTGCAGAGTAGCAATATATTAGCAAGATATTGGTCAAACTAGAGCATCATATATTACCAGAGACATTTAAAAAGTAATATCAGAGAATGGAACAACTAACCTTTATTGGGGCATCAAAGGATTTTGCTACGCTAACCATCACAGGAGTGAAGAACACCCAGAAAATGTCATACACGAAGAGCCCAGCCTGCAAATCGATAGAGTAGGGTGGTACAACAACTTAATTAAGAGAGACTCAAAAAGACAAAATGAACTGCAATTGTCTAAAATTTTATTGTCTTTTTGAGTGTATTACTGAAGCCAATCGAAATAATCTAATAAATCTAGACAACATATTCGAAGCAAGCTTTTTTCTACGAGAAAGTATACAGCAATTATATCAACTACAGTGGGTTGGTAAGGCCCGTAGGGAATTTAATAAACTGGATATCTTTAAGGGAATATAAATAAGCAACATCAGACATGATCAACAAGTTCACTACAAAAATTTGTTGGCGTAAAGACACTAGCTTTATCCCTATCATGAACATATGAACAACACAGTACCAGCTAATAAAGGATATATAACTCTCCAACTACTCCACATTTAGATAATTGAGGGAAGGAGGGAAAAACAGCCAATAGTCATTGATGGTCTAAGATCTAGATAAAGTTGATGAACTAATAAGTTTGGTAAAAATGTTGCATCTTGGAGCATAGGGGAGAGAGAGAACAAGAGTACGCAACGAATACCCAAAAAACATACATACAATATCACAACAGGACTGTAATTATGAATTTGCTGAAGTACAGCCTCACCAGGAGAATGGCGCCAGTTGTAAAGGAACCCAATGATAACATTTCAATTCCCTGCAAATACAGACTCTTTATTTTAAGTACTATGTAAGTAGCTTATCTACAAATAAGAAATTATGAAATTCCAGAGCAGACAACCATGAAAATCATTACTGCTTAACATGATGAACATAACTTTAATCAGATAAAATATCTCATTGGAAAAAGAATGCAAAGAATGCTGAACACTGAAAACTTCAATAACTGCCTAGTTTATTCTAAAAGGTACAAAAACAATAAGAGAAGAGTGGAAAAACAAAACTTAACTGCCTAAACTTTGACCACTTCCTACTTTTCCATCAACCATAATGTTAATGCTAATCCAAGCAAAGCCAGTTTGCAAGGATCAGTTAGGGAAAACACATTGTCAATAATACAATGTCTTTCCTATATGAGATATCTTAGACATGCATTACAAACCATAGCCTTGTTGTGAGAAAGTATCCAGTAAGATTAACTTAACAGATGAATAAATGGATCATTCAATCAATAATATCAATATACCACTTAATCTCCCCCGCAGTCAAATAGAAGCAGCGAAGAAAACAACTGCTGTTGATGTTGACAGCAAGATGCAACCAAACAAGGAGGCAAAGACCATGCAATCTGTACAAAACACGTGGCACGAAGAAGCGCTAAATTTTGGACTAAAATTAGCCAATAACATACGTAGCAAGTAGCCAAAATGATTGGCAGTCCAAGCTTGAATTATGACGGGTCAAAAGGAGCTTGGAGAGCAAACATGTGTAGTGCATTGAAAGCTGATGTGCACTGACAATTACAAGAAAACAGCAAGATCAAGCAAAGTAATTAGAATGAACACTAAGCATAAAGACAGTGCGCACACGGCTCTATCTCAATGACAATGCACCAATAAGTCATTGAACTACTGTAAAGGAAAATTGCAAAGACATCCGTGCGAATATCCACACAGACACCTGCAGACAATGCAAAAATAAGTGGAGGATAAAAGAGCAAGAGGGCAAGCAAGAGGACAGGAGGGTGTTGAAAAGTGGGAACGCTTAAAGGAGAGTGAAAACGAACTGGGAAATCAAAATGATAGAAGAAATATACTACAGATTGAGGGCAGCTTAAGCTTAACCTCTTTTTTTTCCCCAGCAACAACATAGTTTGATAACCCCCACCAGGTTCGGAAGTATCCCATAAAAATTGAGGGGTTTATTCTCATTTATTGATGCATTATAGAGATAATAAGGATAGATGGAAAGTAGACTTCAGCTAATAGAAAAATAGAAGGAGAGACTGAGAACACCTGACAGCTTCTGAGAAAGGAAAAGATCAGCAACATTTACCATCAGGCATCCAGCCATTTCAAACATCATGATTAGCAAATATACCATCACAAATCAAATTGATCCCTTTCTTTAACGGACAATGATGGTCCTAAACCTAACTACCATGATTCCAAATCAACGAATCAAAAAACTTGAACATCCCCTGAGACATAGGATTTTTAAAAAACATAAAAAAACAAAAGACAGACAATTGAGTTAACGAATACAAAAAGAAACCTACCAACAAAATGATCAAAGAACAGGGAACAAATATACTCTATTTAATGCACACCATGAGAAGGCTGCAGAATATGCTTTTTAAAATAAAAGTATTAAAGTGCAGAGCATGTTTGACTAAATCTAATGTTGATCTTGTAGTACAGAGGGAGAATCCCAGACTTATAGAACATCAAGAAGCAACATTAACAACTAGGGATTTTTAGGTGATTAAAAACACCTTCAAAGTTCAATTAATACAAAAAAAAACCTTTAAAGGGGATTCCGATTGCAATCAACCACTTTGCCCTATTTTCTAATGAAATTTCAACTGAAATTCCCAAAATACCCTTGAAAACATGTGTCATGCACTAGGTTTGGCTAAGAACACAATCATGCCTAGCGCGTTTATTTTTAAGGTTGTTTTGGGAATTTCAGTTGAAATTTCATCGAAAAAGAGGTCAAAGTGGTTGATTACAATAGGAACCCACGTTAAAGGTAGTTTCTATATTAATTGTACTTTAAAGGTAGTTTTCGGATAATCACCCTATTTAAAAGAGGGTTTACATGAAAAAAATCAAAAAATATCGAAATAGAGAAAGGTAAGTACATGCAAAAGGAAATTGAATAATACACAAGCGACAACAATATAAACTACCTTGGCATAAATTGAAAATTGACATTTTAGGGTTACAAAGAAATAATAATTTTTTTAAAAAATGGAGAAAATTAATAAATACAAGAAAAAGAACAATGAAGGAGATAAGAACGTAAAGGATGGTTCAAAAACATTGAGACCAACCACCTCACAGGCCAACCTGAATGCAGAATGCAATTCCCAGGATGTTGTTTGCCAGCCAATGCTTCTGTGATGCATACCATACACAGAAAAATGTTCCCGGAATAGAGGCGACTATCTGAGACCTTGTGAACTCTACTGAAAGAGCTGCATTAAGGTAATAATTTAAAATATAAGTCCACGATAAAAAGAAAGTAAAAGGAAAAGGAAATGAAGATCCATAAAAATATTAAGTCACCAAAACTAATTGCTCGACAAAAACAGAGAAAGTAACTATCAGCTTACAAGATTTTGGCTATATTTAACAACACTTGTTTTGCTGTGAACTATATTTTTTCCCCAAATTGGCATTCACAACGCTGATAAAGGAAGGCTCAGGTAACTGATAATAACGGGAAAAAAAGGAGTCCATATGAAATGCATCCATATGTAACACAACATACAATGGGCCATGACTCAACTGCAAAGCATCAAATAACAATCAACAATATGATGTAAATGCTAATGGAAGAGCCTCTTTAGCAGCTACGGTGAAATGAATTGATTTTTAAAAGGAAAAGATCTGATTTGGAAGATTTATTTCAGAAGATTCGATACTTTTGAAGATACAGCTCAAGGAAGTCAACAAGATGAAGGATTCATCGTGCAATAGAGAATGGAGTAGGAGGATGGGCATGTTTCCCGAGTTCATATAGATTCTATGGCTTCTTCTTTTTCCAAGTGAAACTGAAGTTCAAGATGTAGCTGGATCAAAAAAATTTGAATGATGGTATGTAGCTTTGTAGTTGGTTTCTAATCTTATACGTGTTGAGGTGGTAGGATCATATTGTATATAGGGGGTATTTCATTCTGTTTTGATACCAGGAACATTATGGTGCGATAGGTTTTTTTCCTTTTTCTTTTTTTTTTCGTGCTAAGTTTTAGCTTTTGTCTTTGGAGAGGTAAGAGTATACAGGATGAGAGTTTGTACTTAATCGATCAATTTGGTTATGAATAAAAACTACCTTTCATACCAAAAATTAATCATAAATAGGTCCAAAATGTAGAAGAAGGTCTGCAGGCGCAATCCAAGACTTGAGTAAGTTTATTTGTTGTTGCAACGACAACGATGTTGATGATGTATTATGGTTATTCATATAAGGTAGGGATATTGTTGTACTTCCCAACTAAGAACTAGAAATTTGTAGTCCAACCCAACCAATAAAAAAAGAAAAAAAAGTACGCATAGGAGTACACATGGAACGCTAAAAGAAAGAGACAAAATGGTTTACACAAAACAAGTTATACATCCTCCCTCTTGTGGTGTGGCACCTGCAGGCCTTTTTTATATGAAGATAACTTTGCACATGATTACTAATTCGACAGTAGTCTCTGCATAGAATAATAGAAGGCCTACTCCAGAACTTCCAAATTTCAGATAGCATCCTCTAATTTAAGGTTAGCAGCCAAATATCACCAACCTGAACGCAGGGCCATGTATGGACTGGAACGCTGACCTCTCTCTCTCTCTGTGCGCTAGTGCTTACATCAAAACTCATGCCTGTGACTTTCCATAAATAACCCAATCTATACATTTGTGAGTTGATTGTTAAATTATATTGATATAGCTATTCTAATGCAGTGCACTGGATGTCGTGATAGTTAGCATATGCATGTATGGCTTTTCATGGCTCGGGGTTTGATTTTCAGTATTAGCAAGTGCTAGATCTTTGCTTTCTTTTAAACTTGGTTTCCATTTCTATTAGAATTACTATAGAAAAAACTAGGTATCAAACATTTGCCCAAGCATGAGGGGCCAAACTGTTTGCGCAAGTAACTGTCATACACATCCGCTCTAAGATGAATATAGCCTTCTTGTTTATGATTATTTTGTTTCAGCGAGACTTCTGTCCTACACAAAATTGGCGTCTGAAATGATTATAAAATCTTACCCGTGATTTCAAATTCTACCCAATCAATAACCAGTTGATATTCAAACTATCCAACATGACCTGTGTAAGGACTCGGGTTCAGGTCTTCACTACATATGTCAGCTCAATTTCTGACACAGCTGCCAACTACTACTGGCCTACTGTTATGTGTGTAAAATACATTTTTAAAAGGAAAAACATTATCGAAAAACAGGAAGTTGAGCTAAACAAGTCGGATCCATATATATATGGGTCAGATGCAGATCCAACTGAATAGATTTATGGTGGCTTTAGATCAAAACACAAGAAAGTATAGTTAGGAAGCTGGAATGATTAGCCAAAGTCCTAAATGATCAATCGAACATTTTACTTGCTCACTCAGTAGTACATGAGGATTAAGGTAAACCATATTAGAGGCTTAAGGAAACATACAGTGGAAAATTGGAGCGCGCCAAACAATGAGGTTTTCATTCCAGTGGTTTGGAAGGTATTGCTTTATAGCAGGTAACAATGTCGCTCTGCAAGAAAAATGCCCGCAGAAGGTGAGAAATTACAGAAGAAAAAGAACAGAAAAGATGAGAAATTGTGGCTATTCTTATAATTAATAATGTAGCTACAACATAGTAGGTTAAAAGCAAGAGGAAAAAACATACGAAAGAGCAATGATCCCCAGCACAAAAAAGTAACATGTGAGCACAGCATTCACCAAATCTTTTGATAGAAACTTGAAGAGCAAGAACAATGACAAAAGCATTGCACTCCCAACCAAAGGAAAGCGCATAGCATGTTCATTTGACATCGTTTCCTACACGCATTATGTCTTACATTCAGAAAAATAATAGAAAACCAACATGCACGTGAAAAAAATAATAAGGTGAATGAAAGGGTTTTCAAATAGAAAAACTTACTGATGGTGGTGTATCCTTCACTGATCGGTAGCAGCCAACATAAACAGTCAAGCATGCTGTCAGAATTACATTCAGATTTGGATCTACCTTTATGACAAGTGGTGCCAAGGTAAGACCTGCAAAAGAGAAGGCAGAGGTACCTATTATATTTGCATATATCAAAATGGTCCTGATGTAAGTCAAAAAAAAGATCTCCTTCCACGAATATATAAGTTGAAATATCGCTGCTAACAGCAATGTATGGTCATAGCACAAAAGGAACTCCTAAGTGTGTGTTGTTAAGACTAAGGCATTGATGTCGATCATGCAATTCACCAAGACTCACTGCCTTGGTTTTTGTGCAACGGAAAAAAACTATCAGAAGAGGAGGGGTCAAAAGGCCATTGGCATGCAACCTCATGGTAAATATGATCTTTGATAACTCAGCACATAAAAATTCTTGAAATTTGTAAGTCAATAAGAAAGATGGCATCCTTCTATAAGAGCAAATATTACCTAAAAGAGCTAAATTCGCAGCATACTCATGGTTCCTCATTTTCAGCGACTTGAACCTAAAGACGGCAGGATAATCCTGCGAGCAAAACATAATGAAAGCCGATAAAGTCATAAGTGCCCAGTTGGCATAACATGGAAGTTTCTCAAACAGAAGGCAGACCACAGGTCTCTATTGACCCACCTCTGGTTCTGAGAAATAAGTCAGAAACATACATCACAACACTTTATAAAACAGCTAGGTAGAAGGTAATGACTTTTCCATGCATAAAACTACAAAGTAGAAGTATTGTAAATTCAACTGGTTTCAGAGGACAAGAGAAGAATCAATGTCACATAACTGTAAACAGCGTCTTTCATCACCGTGTTTGGTCATTACCAAATGGGTATTTGTTGATATCTGAAAGCTAAAACAATAGGCACTAACAATTAACAATCCAAAGTCATCATCATATGAGGGTCTCTATTCGGCCTTGGGTCTCCCTGAGGGGAACTTTAAAATTTATACAAATTAGCCCTTGTAAGTATGTAATTCGAAGGCAACTTCAACAGTGAGCTGAGTTAAGGCCATTAGGCAACAGCTAAGATCCTTCAGGAATTCAAAAAGAAGAATTCAAAAAGACATCTTTTAAACATTGAAAAGGATTACAAGTCCATGAACAAACCTGAAGTTAGGCAAATCTAAATATGCAGTTTCCACCCAGAGCTTCTGTTAAAATCTGAGACCTCGTGAACTCTACTGAAGCTGCATCAAATAAATAAGAAAGATTAAGCGTGAACCTCATATAAGCAAAATAATAAATCTAACAATTGATCGAGTATCAGAATGAACATCAAAGAGATCGATCAGAAACCCTAACCAGACGACCAACATGAACAAAAACTATAATAATAATAAACCCTAAACTGAACCAAGAATCAAACCCTAAAAATAGATCGTTAACGATCGGAGGCTCACCATCGCTCTCTTTCAACTTGATTGGAGAAAGAGAGAAGGATTGGATTCTGAAGCGGCCTGCGAATTTAAGCGTATTTTGAGTATTTTCCGTTTTATTATTATAAATAAATAAAAATTTAAAAGAAACTGAATATTACATCATAATGCTTGATCTGACGGCTGTGATTGATTATAAACGCGGGCGCGTGTTGATTTCAACGACAGAGACAGGGCCGGGGTCAGCTCTGAAATATTAGCAGGTCTCGCGCTTTAAATGGGGTCCGTTTCGTATCTACAAAATATCTAGTACGGTGCATTGAATTTGTAATTTTCAAATAAACCCTTTAATATAATAGCGATTACATAAACTTGGCGTGTGAAAAAGTCAAGAGCTTCTCTGATAACACGTGGAATGTATGTGCAATGCACGTTGTCAAATATTATAATTATTGATCTTTAATTTATGTATTTACTATAATATAGTTATAAAATAATTTATGATTATTATAATATATTTAAAAATTTTAGATATTTTAATATATAAAATCTTGTTGGTTTCAACACCTTAACTTCCACATAATTAATGAGATTTAAAGTCTTAATATTAATGATCTAAGAGCAATTTAATAATTTAGAATTCTAATTTTAAATAAAATATTAATGATGTAAGCACCAATATGTAAAGAACTATTATTATTAATAATAAATAAATATTAATTCATCAACGTAAAATGGTAGGTTTTATCTGGTCATAGAGGGTTTTGTTTAATTATAAAGAAATCACTCACACCTATTGTCTATCTATTATCTGGCAACCAAATGTTATAGATATTCAATAACTTTTTTCTAGAATTTTCAAAATTAGAATGTGCAAATTCAATCAAGAAAGAAAATATAAATTATGTGAATAATTCCAAAGTCCGATGTTATAATTTTCCTACATCTTCTCAACTACTTAATTAATTTGTCAAAATGATTACTCTCTAATTTTATAAAACTGTAAAATATAATATGAGAATGATTTAAATATATTTTGTACACATAGGGATTGTATTTTAAGTAAACAATTTAGATCTATCCAATATTGAATAATATCCAAAAATTTAGGTTAAAAAGTTAAAAAAAAAAGTCTAATAACACTCATATTCAAACTGCATACTTCATAAATGTGAGATATGTAAAATGAACAACTTAATTTATTTTGTTAAATAATTTATTACAAATCGTAAAAGATAAGGAGAACCATAAGGATCACATAGTTATCCCAAATAAAGATTAAGATCCTCACTTCGAATTTTGTCGCAAAATATTTTTAGAGATACTGATAGACTTACTATAAAATCCACCGATTGATATCTCATGTGTCATAAATTGTGCTTTATTTATGAGTTAATTTTAGAAAACTTCCCCTCAACTATAGGGGAAATGACTTTAAATTTTTGATTTAACCCTATGAACTTTTCTCAATTAACCCCTCAAAACTAATATCGTTGAGTCGAATTCATTATGTGATAAGTACTTGACTTGAAAAGACCAAAATATCCCTAAACCATAAAAAATTAGCTTACTTTTTGCTAGATGAAAGAAAAATCGAAGATTTAGAGGTAAAAAGAATTGTAAACTGGTCACATTCCTTTTATTATTGCTTGAGAGTTTTTTTTAACTAAAATGACTTTCTTCAATTGGGCATTTTGACAAAATCACATATTAAAGTCTATTACATTAAGGGGGTTTGCTAAGAGATGTGTAAAAGACCACGAGAGTTTTTATAAGACATGCTAAGTCGAAGAGTATTTTCTAAAATCGCACCAAAGTTGAGAGGGGTTATCAACAACACCTCTATAGTTAGGGGGCTCTGTCAAATTAAATTAGTTGAGTGGTTGTTTTGAGACATTCCCTATAGTTGAGAGAGTTTTTAAAAAATTAACTATTCTTTTAATTTTAGCTTATTTGCATATTTGTCCCTCAAGTCTTTTATAATTCAATATTAGTCCCTAAATTATAAGCAATTTTAAAATTTTAAGGGAATAATGTAGAATTCTTGGAGATTTAAAATCAAGGAAATGATAGTTAAATTACCTTTAAATATTGCTCTTATAGCCAATATATGAAATATCAGCCGATATATCGCTATATCGACTGATATAAAAGGTTAAATATTTTATCTTGATAATATTTATGATTTTATATTGTTTTCTCTTATATGGGGATTTTTTCCCATATATCGATCATTATCGAAAATATTGTTTAGTATAACAAAATCCAGTCAATTTTTAATTTGATTGTGGGCTTGGTATTGGGTTGTGTTTGGAAACCAAAACTAATGCATGAGTCACAAAAGCCACAATTCATATCTCAAATCTCTCCACTCTCAGCTCTTCCAAATCCTAAACATATATCTTGACACGAATTGTTATGTTTAAAAGTCATCAATATATGAGATTATAGATTATAATATAATATTATGTATGAGTATTATCTTATATGACACCCAGATATTTTTTACATAAACCCGATTATTGTAATCCACTATAATGGATTTTATATGTCCAGCATTTATATGATGCCCAACAATTTGTAGTAGTCCTTCGAAAGCCTTTTCTAAGGTTTTCTAACCAAAGTATATAAATTCAGAAATAATTTAAAATCTTTAAGATTATTTAAGATATGATGCTTTATTTTTCCCACATCCCCTCTAGTATATAAATATAAGCTAATCATCTGGCTTCATACTATATGATGAATATTTTTATCAAAGGGATCATATACTATTTCTTGTGGTTAACAAAGGCTTTAAATTTTTATTGGCTTAATTAAATTAAATACCTTATAGTTTATTAAAGTTTCAATTACATACCTCCACTTGTATCTTGCTGCACTTAAATATCCTAATATTTTTTAAATTGCATGTTTGTACCTTCTACACCAAAGAATACTATTTGTAATTTTCCTATATGAATATAATGGTATAATTTTAGAATAATTCTATATTTTCTACTATTTTCATTAATAATTTATTAACATGCAAGTGTCGATTAATATATTATTAGGCATTACTAATAATTAATACTAGAGTTTTATAATAACATTGGCAAACTTGAATTAGTATATAATATGATTAATTAACAATAATAATTAATTTAGTTTAGTTAGGATTAAATTATAATATTTAAAAATATGGGTAATATAGTCCATAGAAAGTTTTTTCTACAACTTTCTCTTTTAAAGGGAGTATGATTCTAAGCGAAGTATATAATTTATTTTATAATTCAAAATCTTGAGACTTATTCAAAATATGATGTTTAAAATTTTCCACATCTTCTATACTATATAAATATAAGCTAAGCCTCTGACCTCATATTATACGATGAATATTATTTATCAAATGGATCACATACTATTGCTTACAGTTAACAAAAGCTTTAAATCTTCATATGCTTAATTAAACTTAAATACCTTACACCTTAAAGCTACACTCATATACCTCCACTTATATCTTAATGCAGTTAAATGTCCTAATATTTTCTAAAATTGCACGTTTGTACTTATGTACGTAAGAATACTCTTTATAATTTTACTATGTGAGTATCATGATATAATTTTAGGACAATTCTATATTTTCTACTCATTCCAAAATAATTTATTAACTAGCAATTGCCTATTAATATAGTATTATACATTATTAATAATTAATATGAGAGTTTTATAATAACATTGGAAGTTTTAGGGCCATGATAGACAAAATTGAAGTCACATGTAATATTATTAAGGGAAAAATGCTTCCAGCCCCCAAAACTAATGAAAACAAGCTTCCCCCTCCCAAGACTTTTTCAACGCTCTCAAAACCCCCAAATTCGTAACAAATATGCACTGAGCCCCCAAAACACAAAGACCAAGAGTATTAAAATTTGAAGACCATAATACCCTTTCTCTCTCTTTTTCTTTCTTTATCTGTGATGATTTGAAAGGGTTCCTCCGTCCCTTTCCCCGATGGCGGCCGTCATCATGTCCCTCAGCAGGGTCCCCACCTCCGCGATGAGATTGCCCCCTCTGCCGTCAACCTCGCCGTCACGAGCATCGCCCCGCGCACCGGTATCCTCCCAGGATCCACATCAGCCTCCCCAACCTGGGCCCCACCATAGTAAAGCTGGAGAGAACGAAGCATAGTTAGGGTTTTTGATGAGGAGGTCGAGGGTCATGTTGAGCTCCACGCGGATGGCCGGGAACGTGACACGTGGAGAGACGCCGGTGACGGCGAGGATGAGCAGGAGGAGGTGATGAGCAAGAGGAGGATGACGAAGTTTACGGCGGCGGTCGTGGTGCATGTGCGTCGGATTTTCAAAACCTGGATTTTGTTTTAGGTGGTGGGCACTTGCTGTGATTTCGTGGCTTCCTCGGTTCGTTTTGAGATTGAGGAGGTGCAAGAAGGAAGTGGGTCATGTTAGTGATTTTAATATTTTTTTTATTTTTTGAAGGGTTAATTGAGGAGGTGGAAGAAGGAAGTGGGTCCTGTTAGTGATTTTAATCTTGTTTTTTTTGTTTTTTGAAGGGTTAATTGTTGGTAATTTTCTTTTTTCTTACTGATTTTTTGTAAGATTCGGAAACATATATAACAATATATTTTTAGAAAATGAATATTTCACTTTTAATTTTTAGGGAAATTATAATAATATTTCACTTTTAATGAGATTTTCAAAAGCCAAGTGATTTACGCGTTGGTTGTGAAGGTTACGCGTCGCTTGTTAAGGTTACGTGTTGCTTGTTAAGGTTACGTGTTGGTTGTTAAGGTTACGGGTTGCTTGTTATGGTTACGGGTTGATTGTTAAGAAATTTTTGCATGGAACTGATGATGGCTACGATATTCTACAAACCTTATTCCGGGTTACGGGTAACCTTATTGCTAAGAGCCTAAGAGCCTTGTTGCCAAGGTTACGTGTTTGTTGTTTAGATTACGGGTTTGTTGTTAATGTTACGGGTTTGGTTGTCAAGGTTACGGGTTGATTGTCAAGGTTAATTTCACAATAAACATGTAACATTAACAACAAACGCGTAACCTTGACAACAAACCCGTAACCTTGACAACAAACGCGTAACCTTAACAACGAATATTCTAATTAGTTGTAAAATTAACCTTAACAACAAACCCGTAACCT